CCCCAAAACCCCAAAACCCCAAAACCCCAAAACCCCTAAAACCTTAAAATAAATTGAAATAATAAATATGAAAAGAAGGAGTCTCAAAGACGTAGGCTTAACTAAAGACGATCAGAAGGGACTAATCCCTCTATCCATCACCAAAAAGGCTATTTCTCCAAAGAAGCGTGAACCTAGGATCCGTGGGAAAGCAATAGAGCTCCTTTCCGACCCCAAAATCCCCTCACAGAAGAAAAGGACTAGAACGAAGCTGACTAAGTCTAGGAATGCCAATCTGAAGGAATCCCGAACTGAAGGGGATAAGACCAGAAAGAAGAAGATAGAAGTTGAAGAAACCAACGAAAGCAAGTTCCAAGCCCATAAAGAGAAAGATAAGAGTAATCCTACTAGGTTACACAGTGGCTTGGAGGAAACTAAGAAGGACAAACAGCTTGTTGACAATGAATCTCCGAGAAGGAATATTATTGAAGTCAAGATGGACTTTGAATTCCTCAAGAATCAACAGTCGAAAAGGACAATATTTACGAAGAACAGAGGCTCAGCAAGAAGCTTCGATATGAACACTGCAGTGGATAATTTGAAGGAGTTGTGTAAATTGAATTTGAATCAAGTCTATAGTTAACACAGAAGACGAGATCCAACGGTCTACGACTCAGTTATAAAAATACAGTTAAAAGCTCAAGGACAGAAAGTTACTATTAAAACAGGCCAGCCTGCTCCACAACTTGTTAATAAAGATCCATCTTTAGGTATTCTTGCTCATAAATTATAGATGAAAATGAGAGCAATTCTCCATTGCTTAAAAAGCCAAAACAAGAAGCAACATTTCTCCAAGAGGAGCAGAAATCTCAAGTAATAAGATTATAAAATAATTATAGAAGTCAGCAGAAAACGTTGAGCAAAATAAGGCTGATCATGCCAGCCATGACATGCAGCAGGATTACTTAGAAGAAGAGATAAATCCTGAATTTATGATAATCAATCAAATTTATGAAAAAGCTCATCAGAAACAGAAGTTGCCTTATAAGAAAATAGCTAACAGGCAAAAGACTAAATATTTCAGGTATTTTTTCACCACTCAAGATAGACTAATTCCCAAAAATCCAATGATGAGGAGTGAAGCTCAGAAGGTCGATCCAGGCATCATAATCTCTCCTGAAGAGGTATGGCCAAACCCTTATAAATAGAAACGATACAAGAACAAAATTGAGAAGACTTATCAAAGAAGGCTTATTGATAAAAGAGAAAAGACAAGTAAGGCCTAACTTGGGCTATCATAATCTTCTAGTCAAAATGCTCAATGAAAAAGTCAGAGGCAGTATTGAAAGTCCAAATAACTACAGCTATGCTAAGCAGAATGAGAACCCTATCTTCAGAAACCTTGGTATCGGCATTCGAGACTGTAAGAATAACAGTGTCCTCATGAGTCCAAAAGATAGGGAGGAAATTGATATAAGGCTTAATAAAAGTGGTGCAAATTTAGAGACTAAACCTCAATCTGAAATATTCAGATGCAGAGGAATTTCTTATGACTCTGGAGTACCTCTTTCCACTAAATATCCAAGTATTAACTACAATAGGTTTGGGTATTTGTATAATTTCTCAAAAGAAAAATCTCTAGAACCTGCTGTGAATCAAGACAAAAAGAGGAAGAATCTGACAGAGAAAGTTTCACTAGATAATTTTTATGAAGAGCCTGATGTGCCTACAATTCAACAGATAATAAATAATCCATGAATATTTAACATAAGAGATAAGTTGATGACCGGAAAGCTCTCTGAGAGTAAAAAGCCTCTTCTCACAGCTAGCCAAGAGGAGACAAAGGAATACCTCAGGGTGAATTATGAGGATGGGCATAGGAAGAACCATTCTCTCAGAGGAGATTCTAATCAGAGTAATCTTAAATTGCTCACTGAAATTTTATAGAAGGAATCAAGAATATTCTAATGGATAGAAACATTAAATTACCTGAGAAAATGCCAGAGAGATTAAAGGATAAATATCTCCACAAATTGGTCGGAGATAAAGACTTTTTCCCCCAACTTGTTCATAAAAATGACAATGATGAGAGCAGCCAAGATAACTTTGCAGATATCTTCCAAAACAAAGATAAATCTGTAACTTTAAATTCATCTTTTAGAACCGAAGGGGTAAAAATATCAATAGGAAGCTAAACTATTCTGCTGCTTTTAAGGTATATACAAAGAAGCCTGAAATTAATCCAAACATGAAGTTTTTATAAGGAATTACAAGGCAGCTCCAAAGACGGCCATAACCCAATCAAATATCATGCAATTTAGCTATATATTTTCGGGGTTTTGGGGTTTTGGGGTTTTGGGGTTTTGGGG